GACCCCGCGCTCCCCAGTGTCACACGTTATGATGCGGCAGTGTAGTCCGTGTGCCCCGTACCCCCGCTGTCTGCCTTCTGTACGCTGCAAGGGAACATTCTGAGCTATCATTGGGACTTTTACCTTTTCAATGTCAAATGTTTACTTCCATATTTTAGATGCTAAGAGTAAATGAGTTTGGCACACACAGATGTACGTTGTGTTCAGTCTGCATATGTAATAAAGTAGTAGGACTTCCCCATGTACACATGTAATTAGAGCCGCAAAGGATATAAATCCACTTTGTGTGCACAAAATGCTTTTGCAAGCCCAGATATCACCTCTTTAAAGTATCACTATCATCACTGTGCTGTACATGGCCTGTGCAGAGAGCAGAGCTATGAGAGGGGCCCAGCAGGCTCCACCCACTACAGGCTTCCTGCAGAAAATTACAGGAGGGGGTGGAGACAAGACCGGTCACCCTGCACAAGGAGAGAGAGCAGCAGTGACTGGTCTTTATTACAGGAGGGACGGAGATCCCTGGTAGTAGAGATCCCCTGTGTCTATGTCCTCCATAGTAGGGATCTTCCTTGTGTCTATGCACCCCCATAGTAGGGGTCTACCTTTTGTCTATGCACCCCCATAGTAGAGATCTGCAATGTGTCTATGCATCCCCATAGAAGGGATCTCCTTGTGTCTGTGCACCCCCATAGAAGGGATCTTCCTCGTGCCTGTGCAACCCCATGGTAGAGATATTCCTTGTGTCTATGCACCCCCATAGTAGAGATTTCATTGTGTCTATGCACCCCCATAGTAGGGGTCTTCCTTGTGTCTATGCACCCCCATAGTAGGGATCTTCCTTGTGTCTGTGCACCCCCATAGTAGGGATTTTCCTTGTGTCTATGCACCCCCATAGTAGGGATTTTCCTTGTGTCTATGCACCCCCATAGTAGAGATTTCCTTGTGTCTATGCACCCCCATAGTAGAGATTTCCTTGTGTCTATGCACCCCCACAGTAGGGGTCTTCCTTGTGTCTATGCACCCCCATAGTAGAGATCTTCAATGTGTCTATGCACCCCCATAGTAGAGATTTCCTTGTGTCTATCCACCCCCATAGTAGGGGTCTTCCTTGTGTCTATGCACCCCCATAGTAGGGATCTTCCTTGCGTCTGTGCACCCCCATAGTAGCGATCTTCCTTGTGTCTGTGCACCCCCATAGTAGGGATCTTCCTTGTGTCTGTGCACCCCCATAGTAGGGATCTTCCTTGTGTCTGTGCACCCCCATAGTAGGGATCTTCCTTGTGTCT